TGTTGCGAATATAAACAGATAAGAGATATGTTATATAAGAATGCAGAAAGTTAGCTAAATATTTAAAAGCGACCATTATTCCCCCCATTTGACTAAAAGATAGCAAATAAATATTTCCTCTATCTTGTTCAGGGTATGACGATAAACTACGTCCGGCAGCAACCGAGGTTTGCAGGAACGTTGAACAACTTCTTAATTGTTGTTGTCCCTGATGACCCTGCCCCGGGCGGGTAGCACCTGATAAGATACCAGCTATGGGCAAATAGTTCACCCCCAAAACACCATGAAAGTATAAAAACAGATTTTTATATTAACATTACTAGAAAAAATTTTTTGAAAAAGAAAACATTACCTGTTATACATTTTTGGGGAAAAAAATACCAGCAATACATTTTACTCTCGACAAAAACCCACATTACAACAATACCCCATTAAAACCTGATCTACCAGCTTTTTTTTTTTTACAAATAATATATATTCTATTCATAAAAACCTATCCTAAAATGTTGCAATTGTATTAAATAACCCATTGCGGTTGATGTATATCGCAACATTCCTTGAACCTATCCAGAACACAGGCGTGTGTCAACCCCTTCACTTGAGGGGTTGACACGTTCTGTTAGTTACCAGTCACATGGATCCTATCCTAGAATCTTGCCGGTATTAAATAACCCATTACGGTTGATATACAATGCAAATGTAGTATACCAAACTAAATCTTTGCTCTATCAAGGCTGTCCATGTAGGCACGTTGGAAAAACACCTTTCTGCTATAGAAATGGATTCGCTGATGAGAAAGAAGATGGAGATTTTATTCGTGTCGGGAGCACAATTTTTCTTTTGCGTGAATTGTTACTGAGTTCGGCTTTTCAGAAAATAAACACCAAAACTGGGATAGCAATTTAAATATTGTATCCACTAAAGATAACTTTTATAGTAATGAATAAATATATACGTATTCGTGCGTGTATATATGTGTGGGCGACATATCGCACCCAGAGAAATTAAACTCATAATATATGACACGTTTGGTGGAGGAGAGACGAAGTAAATATTTGATAATTTGGCGGCAATACGCGCTTAAAGGTTTTGAGTAGTTTTGATCAACATTTCTTGGTTAATTTGCAGTTTAACACCCGCACTCATCTCGCATTAAAATGTTTCAAAATACTTACATTTATGTGTAATTGTACAGGCTCTATTCAAATCTGGCTTGATGAAGCTGATAAAATCTACCGTTTTGGAGTTATCGACAGTGAAATTTGGAATTCAATCGCGTCGTTGGCGGCAGTCATTACTCGCCTTGTTTGTAAACATTCGCTGCAGAAAAACTAAACGCGGAAGACTACGGAAAGCTAAGCTCGGAAATAATCTTGTAAAATATATCTCACTTACTGCGCACGAGAACTTTTTACTTAGGCACGATCAGTTTGCGTAATGATACCTACACGGGCAGTTATTCTGCAGCGAAAATATACAAACAACGCCAGTAATGGTTGCCCGCGACGCGAATGAATCCGAAATTTCACTAAACCGGTAGATTTCATCACATTTATCAAGCAAGATTCGAATGTAGCATGTATAATTACATATAAATGTAAGCATTCTGGAAATTTTTAACGCGAACTGAGCGAACTGAACTGCAAATTAACCCATTTCTTTTCGTGGTTAGCCGTAAGGAATTGTAAATATAGTGCTATCTTATATTTAAGTAAAATATTTAAGAGCTATTTTGTTTACGCTTTTTTACCTCTCTTTTTCCATTGTGGTTTTTAAATTGTTTTCTTCCAGTCATTGTGATGGGCAATAGCGACATTCTGAAATTGAGAACGTTCTTATTCCATTTTAAAAATAAATAGTGTATAAAGGAATATTTATATTAATATACGACAAAAAATAAAAGGCATTTGACAAAAAAACTTCATGATTTCACTATAATTATGTAACAATAATGTAATTATATTCGGTAGACAAATCTAATTGTAGTATGGTATGCAATTTAGATAGACAAGCATAAATAGAGAACAACTGGCGAACGTAGGAAAGAGCTATACCTAGCAAACCCGGTTGATATTCAGGAACCGAGAATTGTAAGACGACGACTACTACACAGATAGATTGCATCTCATTACATGTTTACGAACTATAAACATAAATTGAGCTTGAAATATTGTGACACGGCTCTAACTTTTTTAAAATACTTGGATATGATATAATTAATGATTTGCAGTGAAAAACGCAATTTTCGATTTTTGGTAATACGCCCCACATTCACTGAAGGAGTTATATATCCTTATCTTAAAATATTAATCATGGTGGGAAGGTAAATGCAAAGAATTACTGAAAATTTTATTTAATTTATTTCCCGTGGAGAACAGTGTTTTGAATAGCAAAATTTATATCAAGGAAGATTTACCGTGTCAAATCATCGAAGAAAATATTCTTTATGCTCTGCAAAAATGACCGGAAATATATAAAAGCAACATATTTATTGTATGTTCCGCTAGATCCTCAAAATATTAAATCTAATAGAAAACATGACAGTTATTATATGTGTATGGAAACCAACATTCAATGTTAATAATGTTTCATATAATGTTAAAAAGTAAACACTATAAATGTTAAAATACTCAATGAGAAAAAGACTGAAGAAAATTTAAAAAATATGTCAAACAGCGTATATTGTCATGTAAAATAATAATTTATTTAAATATATGAAATATATTGTCCTAATCAAATAAATATTTCTATAGCTTTTTAAATAAATATTCAAAATATTACAAAAAAATATTTAAAATGAAAAAAAAAATACTATTATTAATTCCGGCATAGCAATAACAGAATCTCCGAAAATAAAATATTTTTTTAATAAGTGTAGATACATTTAACTGAAAGCGAGGCTATATTGTTCATAAAAATATAATTACATCCTTGATATTTCAGAAACGCCGGGATTTCTTAATACCAATTACCTTGCAAAAATATTGGCTTGTTTAATGAAATCCAAGAGTGTATATCTATTCTAAGATATTTTCTATTCGTATGAGTTATTTTAACAGCATAGAAAGAAGTGTAAGATAAGGATGTGTCATCTTATCGGACTTATTCAAGCTATACAGTGAGAGGGATTTGAAAGAATTTGATGTTCAAGTAGGATTTAATATTGACGGCTACAGTCTTAATAAGATACCATATACATATGGCACAGTGTTGATAGCAGACAAGAATGGAACTACAAAAACTCCTAAAGGAGGAAACGAAGGAAAACGGGAAGAAATCACTAAACCTCAATTGCAAGAAGACGGGTGACATGGTTGCTAACAAAATGAAGAGCCCAACATACAAATTACAAATTGGAAATGCCAAAATCTAGCAAGTACAACAATTTCCGTATAGAGAAGTATTTTAACAGAGGATGGAAATGCGACAGCGAAATCCGAAGGTAGATTTGAATAGCAAAAGATGCCTTCCAAACGCTAAGCAGAGTATTAAGAAACAGGGACATTTCATTAGAAACAATGAAAAACGAACTGAACTGTTATGTAATATATGGTACTGAATGCTGGGCAATCTCCTCACAAATGAAGAAGAGACTTGTGACAACAGAAATTCTGTGGTTCTACAGAAAGAAAGCTGAGAGTAACATAGACTGATCATTTGAGAAACGAGGAAGTTTTAAGGAAAAAGGTAAACTAAAAGGATATTTCTAATTCGAATCAAAGGGAGTTGTCGAAACTTCTAGGCCATATAATGGAGTAAAAATAAGGCACACTCTGGACACAGTGTAGTTAAAAAAAAAAAGGTAGTGAAAAACAACGCATATCATAGATAACAAGCTCGTGTAAATGGTCGGCAGAACAAAGAGTTTGAGAACTGGCAAAGACACAAAGATTAATAAGTTAAAAAGGTTTGGAAATGGTGGCGAGCCATGATAACCCAGGTCATGAAGGAATACATCACAGAGAGGAAGAAAAAGCAGAACTTATTTTACGACCGTAATATCTTATTATAATTATATTTTTCCCTCCCTGGGTTAGCACGATCGTTATGCCCTGCCAATATCTCATAAATAATCGTCTATTCCGATAATAGATAAGACAAAAAAACATATCAGAACCTCTCGTTTGTTTTATCGAGATAGAAAGAAAGAAAAAAGGGAAGGTAAAAAAAAGAAAGAAAGAAAGAATGGAAGTGATTAACGCCTGCGTCAGTGAAATGGAAATAGTTGCTAATTTCAAGTCAGTTCATTTGTACCTACTTCTTTGAATAACGACCGGATTTCATATTTATGATTGTTGTTGCAATATTTTGGTACAGATCAGACGTTTATTGATTCGATGAGAGAATTTCTACGGATATGTCATTTTCGTAGGATTCGTCATGAACTTATTCAATAATTAATTTAATTATTAAAATTCATCAGAAAATTCTAATAGGAAGACCATGACATTTTCACGTATGTTTCTACTGTATTTTAATTCCCATGCATTAAAATCAGAATTTAATATCTGTCATTGGGGTACCTCGGCATGGTGTAATGTTTAGCAAGCTTGTTTCGCTAGATCAGTTACGACTGAAAAGTGAGTTCGATCCTCACTAGGTGTCCCACACTTTCGGCCTTGTGCTGCATCTAAGCTACGCTTAGAAAATAACTTTAATATCTTTCATTGATATAAAATATTACATTTCTTTTACATAGCTGCGAGTTTGGAATCGAGAATAGTGCTCCTTAAAAGGACAGATTATATAACATTATGCTCTTTTGCTATTTATAATTCTTCTAAATTTTAGATATTTCCTCCTTAATTTCAAAACACAAGACGTGGTTTATCTTCGATTTAGATTTATATGAGTTTTGTTTTTATTTACGGAAAATAATTTTCATCGGGTTTTTAATATTTTTTTCTGCAGTTTCAGCTTTTGTTATTTGTTCTTTTTTCGCGTCAGTTTGAGATTATTTATTTTCAAAAATGTCTCCCAATCTCTTTGCTTTTGCTTTTATGTTTTCTTCGCTTAACAATTTCTCGTTGTATTCATTCTCTTTTCCTTATTCTTTTCTCTTGACGATTTCTTTGTTTTCCTTTCTCATTTTCTTGTCTCGTCTTCCCCTTCCCCCTCCAATTTATATTTCTTTCCCTTTCCTCATTTCTTCCTTTTCAGACTTTCCCCTCTTTTTTTCTCTCTTTTCCTTACACGTTTCATTTCGACATGTCTCTCATAATTTATTATTTCTTCTCAACGTCAATTTCACTTACTCCTTCCTTCTTTATTTCTTCCCCTTTTCTTCTTCTCTTCCGTCTTCCTTCCCATTTTTCGCTCTTTTACTTATTCTTTTGCATGCTTTCACTCTTTTCCTTACCCTTTCTTATTCTTCTTTTCTCTTCGTCTTTACTGTCATCCCCTTCTTCCTCTTCGTCTTTTCTCTGTTTTACTTATTTTTTTTCTTCAGTTTTTTTTCTTCTCTTTTCCTTATTTCCCCCACTTCGTCTTATTTCTCATATTTCCTTACTTTTTGTTTTTCCTCGCCTTTCCTTACTCATTCCGATTCAGGAATTTTATTCCCAATATCATCCCTGTTTTTATTTCTTCAACTTATTCATCTTTTCTCTTTATTAAATTTCTTCGGTTTATTCATTGACTCACTGTTATATTCTACTAGTTTAAATGTCGCCCGATCCTGCTGAGGGCTCTTGATTGCGCCTATATCATAATAGGTAGGAAGAAGTAGATGCGATAGGCAACCATAAACTATAGAAGAAATCAAAACTGATCGCTGCATTTAAATATTCTATCAATATTCAAGCTCACCTTTTAAAACGTCAAACGTAATTCTTCTGTCACCGCTTAATTTAAAGAGTTTCAGATACGTAGGTCCTTACTTTTCGTACAAACAATTATTTGTATTTAATGGGTGACTTTCGCTGGATCTCACAAATAATTTCAATTATTCCCAAATTTATTTCCAAGTTATAAAAATTGTTATACAAAAAATTCTTCGCAAAAATACAGTATAAAATCATCGAAAACAATCGCACTAATGCGAACTTGGGAATCCAAAATTGTAGAATTTCGGGTCTAGATCCGGTCCGGTTCCATTCTGGTTCTGCCTGGAAATGTTTTTAATTTGCTTACGGAGTCGGTCTGATTCCAAAATGGTATGATATGTTGGACGACGGCATCTTAGAGTAAAGTTGAAAACATGGAGAATTTTATTTTGAAACACTGTAATTTGAAAACAGTAATTTTTTTTTCATTTGAACACGAGATATTGAAAGTTAGAGTTGCGTTCTTTAATTGTTTTTATCAGTAAAAGACAAGATGGCGGAATCCGAAAACAATCGCATTAATAAAAACTTGGGAATCCAAGATTTCAGTATTGAGGTTCCGCATTCGGCCCCGGATATTTTTAATTTGCTCACGGAGTCGTCCTGATTTCGAAAATTATATATGTTAGGCGATGGCCTTTAGGAGTAAAATTGAAAAAGAGTGACACAGTGACACACAGACATCTATTATATACGTTTCTTTTATTTCCACCTTCACGATTGTTCTTCCTCTTTCTATATTTCTTTTAAACTTTCTCACTTTGTCTTCTTTTGCATCCTATTCCTCTCTTGATTGATTGTATCCATTTCTCTTATTCGTTCCCTTTTTATTTTCTTACCTTCTTCTTCTTCTTCTTCTTCTTCTTCTTCTTCTTCTTCTTCTTCTTCTTCTTCTTCTTCTTCCCCCTTTTACATCTTTATTCTCTTCGTTTCTCTTTTATTCTATTGCTCCCTTACCATATTTTAATTAACTTTCCTCTTAGTCGTTCCCTTTCTATTTTCTCCCATTCACTATTTTATTTTCCCTCCCCCTTTACATCTATATTTTCTTCGTTTTGTCTGTTATTGTACTATTCCATGTTCTACAGCTTACCTTCCATATTTTAACACTTATCTTCCTCTTCTTCTTCTTTTTCTCCGTTACATTATTATTCTCTTTCTTTTCTTCCTCTTTTCCTATTATTCCATGTTTTATCGCTCACCCATCATCTTTTAATTCTTAATTTCCCCTTCTTTTCCGTATTATAAAATTGCCCCTCTCCAATTCCCAATATACCCTCATTTCTTTCAGCCATTAAACTCTTTCTCTCTTCCTCTCATTTTCTCCTATCTATCCATCCACGATTATCCAACGCTAATCTCTGCCCCTTGTGCTCTTCAGTTTCGTTTCTTTGTTTTTATCAAATTTATTTATGAGTCTCCGCCGCATTTAAAATAAAGATATTCTATTTTAAAAACGCTCATTGCGGCTTCTACAGAACATATCAAATAGGATTTATTTCATTCCACCACATTTTAAATTCATAGATTGGCGTAATTTTCCAAACATAAACCTTATCCGATTCCTCACAAACGTGTGGATTATTCTTGGTCTTTCCAACCCTTGCTATCAGAGCTAATCATCAACATTAGAAATTTTTTTTCTGTCATTTATTACTTTTGTATTTCTTTATCATTATTCAGGGATTACAGAATCTAGTGCCATAAGCAGTTGCTGTCTCATCTTTTAAATGGAAAAGGCAAAATTCTAGAAAAAATGTAATATTTTCGTAGAAAAGATAACTAAATTCTTCCGTATTGTAAACAAGATTTTTTTCCCCTCAACTTTAATAGGATACGACTGTAGTGTAACTATCATCATATCGTAATGTCATCTCAATAAACAGTATAAATATCACAAGTCAGACATGTAAATGAAAACTAAATTTTTATTACCGTTTATTTTCTCGATATCTATCGAATAAAAAAAAGTCAGCATAATGTACACACCTAAATGAATATAAATCAAAGTAAATATATCTATACGCATTCTCTTTTAATATATGACATATGCCTTTAGTGTACAGTCTTATGTCTCTCGAATCATATATATATATATATATATATATATATATATATATATATATATATATATATATATATGCTTAAGCATTTACTTGATAACAAAAAAAATTAAGACAATTTTTAAACAGTGCCATTGAGAGCATTTTAATAAGAAAAATGCTTCTGAGGTATCTTTAGACAACCCTCCTTCAGATTTATATCGTTCGCAAAGAATACATTTTGCTAATAGTATCAAGAACACCGAAAATATTTAGAGGACAAATGTTGTATGAGAACACACACACACACACACACACACATATACACACACACACACACACACACATATATATATATATATATATATATATATATATATATATATAATAAAAAAGGCTTAAACACTAATATTCCATGGTCATAATTTATTCCATTGGAATCGTAAATACGATCCAAATCATCAGACCTACAAATTCAAAATGAAAACAGAAAAACAACTCCGGAAATCAAAACAGAATTTAGAGAAAGTGTAAGTATGAGGAGGAGGAGATGAAACCTTAACAGAGAGAATTTTTTTTTGGAGATGTAGGGGATTTAAAAAGAGGAGAGAAAGAAAGTCGACGGATGTCTAATGCATAAAGATACATTTCGTGGTGACATATACACACCATAGACAATTAGAAGTTAGGAGATAGGGGAAAAAAAAGTAGGTACATACACTCACTTTTCACATACATATACACGCATGCACATACATATACACGCATACACAGTTTTTTTATATATATTTTGCATATGTATGTTTATTTTCCACTAATATTATCTATATATATATATATATATATATATATATATATATATCTAATATTATAAATTAATTGAATTAAAAATTTTTTCGCTACACAGTTCTAACCATGTTTCCAAAATGGAAGCTGAAAGCTTCGAATTTAATTTTGTAATTAAATTATAAGACATTAGTTCCATTTCATCCTCAAGCGAATTTTGGAGTAGCTTTTAAAGTTACTGGGTTTTAAAGACACAGCAAAAATCATAATTCACGTTTCCAAGGATACAGAGAAATCTATTCATCCAGACAAGGGGTGCTTGCGAGTTCATTATCGATGTATTTTGATGTATCGGTTATTAGTTACGTTTTGGTAGGGGTAGGGATGTATTTCTCAATGAAATCTGACATCCGTTAAAGGCATGTCGTCTGGATTTAAAAAAAAATATTGTTAACGGCAAAAATTCTTATGGCATTTTTTTCTATTTGTATATTTTTAAAAAATTGGTGGGGGGGCTGTTTAGGTTAGAATACGTTTAATTTAACTACGATTTGAAAAATATTTTCACTTTTAATTTTTAATATGCTATATTTCCTTTAAGAACAAGTAAATGTATGAGAATCACTTACAGTATGTAGAATTATTTTCACATCAAGTATAGGTATGCATATGACCAGGTCACATTTTTTTTTTTAAATTTATATTTAAATATTATTTAAGTAAAGTTTATACAATGACGGCAAAAATAGCTCATTAATTTCATTGATTTAGTAAACTTTTATTTTTATATAAAACCTAGTAATATATTGTTACTCATGTAAGTACAAAGGACATGGGTCATTCAGTGGCTTACATCTTCTAGCTTTTCATATTAATTTCATTTAACTGTAGGTGCTTTAAGTGCTTGTAGTACTTTGAGGGAGATGTTTAGGTTACAATACGTTTTATTTAACTACAATTTTAAAATATGTTTAGGTTAGAATTCGTTTTATTTAACTACAATTTTAAATACAACTTTAAAATATTTTCACTGTATATATATATATATATATATATATATATATATATATATATATATATATATATATATATATATATTTATATATATAGGAAGTGTGAGTTTGTAAACAGAGACTATTACGGATAATAATGCAAAACTCTTCGGTAAATCAATTTTCTTTCAACCCTGCCGTACGCCAACAGCTTAGGGTAGAATCTCTGACTGACACCGGGTTTAGATCCTAGTTAGAGGCAACCGGGCGTCTAGACATACTGATGAGCTGTGATACAGCGAAACAATCAGTTTTTGCATGGCAATATATATATATATATATATATATATATATATATATATATATATATATATAATCTCTCACTACAAACCCATCAGTCTCCTCAGTAAGCTTTTTGAGACTGAAAATAGAAGGCTATTCTCGATCAAAAAAAATCGTCCTAACAGGTAGGTCCCTGAAGGTACATATTAATGGTCAGTTTATCGGATTCCTAGCGGCCAAAGCAGGGGTCATCACAGAGTCACTGCTCGGACCAACCCTCTTTCTGATTTACGTAAATGATATGGCTAAGAATATACTCTGATCTATGCCGATGACAAAACTATATAAGGGATCACATCTCAAACTTGATTGTCAGAGATTAGTGACTGATCTCTCTTCCGAGCTTGTAGGGACTAACCACATCGGAAAAGAAACTGGCTAGTTACATTCAATGCCTCGGAGACAATGCTAGTTACATTGCGTTGCCGCCAATTGGACAACGAACTACCTACAAGATGATCTGATATCCTATCTTGGAGGCTCCGTGCCTGAAAGACTGATGGGACTCAACTAGTGATTATATAGCTGGAATTATTTGTTGAGCAATCCTGTATGCCCCAGCTTGTCAAATGCCTTTGAGCTGTATTTTATTTCTACTGCCTTACTGATTCTGTGAGCAATGATAGTTAGGACATCAGCAGTAGAGTGGATATATTGAAACTCATACTGCTTGTCGCTCATGAGATTTTTCCTATTT